CCCTGAGAAGGCAGCTGGCTAACTTTAGCAAAACTTCCCCGTTGTCAGGGAAACTGTAAACATCCGGTAACCACGGGCAGAAAGCGGCTTCCTGTGATGATCCGATCAAAGCTGAAACAGCCTTTAGGAGACCCAGGACCAAAACTGCCTGATAGAGGGACAAAAACTGTGCAACATACTCAAAGTCCAACGTTTTCTGTGCTGTACTTTGACTTTAGTGAACAAAAAACTCTCCTTAAGCACTTTCTGAGCTGATGAACGACAGTTCACACAACCATCCTCTAGATATCAGTAATCCGTGCGCATGAATTGCAGAAACCGTGAGCACAGTTTAGTAATCCGTTCGCTCAGTTTAGCAATCCGTGAGCACGGATTTCCAGCGGCTGTTTTTTTTCCTCCCACTGACCCCCGGCGGGCTCCGTACAAATGGAATTTGTTTAAGGACCTTTTATTTAGTCACTTTCTATATGCTGGTACCTGTTATGCTATTTGAAAAATTAGACTCTTCTCTTTATTTAGGCACTACAAACAAAACAGAATAACATTTGTAATTGACAATCTGTGCGTTGATAGAAAACTGCCAGGAGCTTTTTAGTTTATACTGACATGTAAAAGCCTTAATCAACTCCAAAGTATACACGTGCTATATAAGTTCTGTCCCTTTATCATTTAATACAGCAATCGAAGAGTTACCTACCTTATATTCAATGTTTCCTTCTTCAGCCTAGAAAATAAAAAAACAAAAGATGAATGAGATCTGATAGTAAACTCTTGAAAAATCAGTACAAAGCACATTAACAGACTAAATGCCTAACGTTCCTTGAATAAATGCRTATCGCCCACCCACTCTCATGCCCAAATAGTAAACTAAAAACATTTTGTGTTGAAAAAAGATGGAGCTGTTGCCCTTTTGATCAAACCTTGAACATTACAAGCATGGTCTTAAAATGATGTAACCCTACTGCCACCTGAAATTTTAATACTTGTATAATTGACTGAGTTGCAAACATTTTTGTGCTTAATTAGGAATAAATTATTCTCTAAGWTGGGCATCTTCTGGCAGGTAAATTATGCACAAGTTTATGAACATTACATGTAAGTTACTCACGTGCCAAAAACAAGCTGGGCAATTGTAAAGCGTACAAGAAACTTATTTATAACATATGAAAAACTTCATTCTAACATACTTCAACTTATGTCAGATGTGTCTGAAGGAAATTTTGTAACTGATTAATTGAATGTTTGATGCAGTATTGTGTATTTATACTTTCTGATCATTGCAGTCGTACAGTTTAAGACAGAGAATGGGTTGGTGTGTCTGTAGCCTGAACAAAAACGGGTTATGTTCTGGCGTTAAAATATTTAGTTTTGAGCTAAATATTCAGCTTGAAACTTAAATATTTAGTTAGCTACCTAAATATGTAGGTTGAAACTTAAATATTTAGCTAGCCACCTAAATATTTTACTTAAATATTTAG